CCCCCCTAAAAACAACAACAACAACAAAAACAACAAACAACAGAAAACAAACAACAATCAACGAAACATAAAAAAACATCAATAAAGAACATACAAGCAAACAACCCCCCACCCCCTCCGAAAAACAATGGACTTAAGCTTGGTAAAGGTATACTGCGACTCACAATCGCCCAATTATTTTTATTCAAATGATACGTTATGTAGTCTACTCTCTCGTGTGTTTTCATATGAAGAAGGTTATTTTTAGCAAAATGTGATTTAGACCCTGCATTTCTCTGACTCCTTTCAGTCTTGTATTTCAACTGTTCACTCGTTAAGTCGTGCTTGCCTCTATGGCCTCCTCAACACAGCATGAGACTGCCGGAACCAAATACTGTTGTCATTGTCCAAATGTTCTTTCCTTGGAATTTGAAAGCAACAAAACATCTTTTACTTTCAGAACATGGTAGTTTCCGAATCTGCATTTTTGTCCCTCTCCATTATAAGCTGTAACAGAAAACATTACTCTAATAATAATGTGATTTTTGTAAGCACAATAATAGTTTTTAAAAATCAAAATGTTGTTGGAAACTTAAATATCTTATTAATTTACGACATGATATAGTAAGTTCTAATAATAATGTTATAGTAAGGACTACGTGATACCGGAGGCCAAGCTGTCCTTCGGACAGACTATAAATAATTGGAAGGTTTTATTCTTCGACGCCATTTATATGGAGTGGCAGTCAGTCTAACCTGACCGGATGCCTTAACTGCCCTTAACAAAGCCCTGCAGTACAATGGCTGGCTGCAATGTCCGCGGGTTAAGGAGCTTGTGAGGCGGAGGCAGGAAGTTACCTGTGCCTCTTCTTCCCTTCCCGGGGGTCGCATCGATCGTCGATCGCCCTGTCTGGTTCGGGGTCTGTGAGACCTCTTGACCTTTTCGTCCTCCCCACTCCCAATCCCTCCCACACCCACTTTTTTTTTTACCTTACTTACCAAGCATCCTAGATCCATAATCCCCACCCTCTTCTCTCTTCTACCACTATTTTTTTTTTTACCTTACTTACCAAGCATCCTAGATCCATAATCCCCACCCTCTTCTCTCTTCTTTTTCTATTTTTTTCTTTAAATCACACTTACCAAGCATCCTACAAACCATAATCACCT